CATCACTATATATTCTTTGTTGTTCATAATCATTTACTTTGGAATATTGGTGTTCCATTTTTGTTATTACCACACATACATGTTTTGGGCTGTAATATATTAAAACAATCTATTTGCAAATAACTTCCAGAATTCTGATGTCGCTTATTCGATGTAACCTTCATAAAACAGTATTGTTGCCAGTATCGATAATTCTTTCATTATTATGGATACATAACTGCAAAATCTGATGAAGAAGTTATTGGAAAAAATATTCTTTGTCCAATAATCAGTCATTTAAATAAATGCTGTTCTTTTTTACACTCAAAATATTTTGACTGAATTTCAAGTATTGGTTTTTTGTAGGGATTTTTGTTTGATTGGTTGGGAGAATTCATAATGAGCTGACATCACTTAGAGAACAATTGGGAAAACTGGGAGTACTGGACAGCTGTTCCGTCAGTCTAGTTAGGGACTCTTCATCAGTACGTGCCCACTGGGGTTCGAACCCAGGACTTCTGGTTACAAGGCGAGCTCGTTGACCATTAAGCTACTGGGAACACTCATCCAAGAAGACATTGCAAAGTGGTCGCGCTATGTTATGAATTGGCATGTTTCATGAACTGGCCATTGGATCGGATCCCAATCGCTTAATGGTTTACGAGCTCGCCTTGTGACCAGAAGGTCCTGGGTTCGAATCCCAGCGGGCGCGTACTGATGAAGAGTCCCAAACGAGGACGAAACACCTGTCTAGTACTCCCTGCAGGTTTTCCAATGGTTCTCTAACTGATGTTAGCTCATGATGAAGTCCTCCAAGCGACCAAACAAATTCCCTACAAACCCAAAACTTGACCTGATGCACCCTAGCAACTAGCCCTATTCAGGCAGTTACAGGGCATGAAATATGTTAAATAATGCTACTCAGTTCTGATCGTAATTTTTATGCACCAGCTCATAAGCTTATAACGATTTAAATTGGATACTAGTTAGTAACTAGTGTATTGCGTCTAGTCCTTTCTTCGTCGCAGGCTGAGTTCTATCAGTCAAGTTTGCAATGCGACGACTATGCCACTAGGTGGCTTGCCATCACGGTGCACTTTGGATTGTTGATATCAGATGGTTGGCGACAGTCACCAGGATGCCTTGGACCTAGGTCCGATCAAGGTATCCAATACAGTCTTACAGGTCAGTCGCGGGCTCGATTAACTCAGTGGTAACATCTAACTGCAGCACTGGGTTCAAATCTCATGACGGACATGAGTTCCTTCAAGATTGCAGATACGCCTTGCTGACGAGTGCCAACTAGCACGGAACCTAGATCCGGCAAGATATCCTGCCGATTGCCTCCAACTACCTAATACTCAAGACATGCCTAGTAATGATGTAATCGGGTAAAACCACTTATGTACCGTTTTTCTTTCTCTCATAACTTTAAGCTAAATTGAAAAATATTTCAGCTAGTGTCTAACAGATTCCAACCATCCTTCAAGTGTTAAAACCTTGCAGATCGTTGGTGAATCAGTTTTTCAAACTATACGTGTGACTCATTACCACCCAATTCTTATTTAATACTTAGTACTTAGAAAGGAAATATTTACAAAAACTACTCCCACATGGAATCGATCGTAATATTCCAGATTGTTTCTTTAAGTGTGTCGTTAAATTCCACTTTTTAAGAAACTTGGTGACATAAAAGAAAGGTTTTCAACTTTTTCTTAACCAGATTCAAGCAATAAGGAATATCAGATGTGTCCAGATTTAAGTTTCTTGATATGCCATCTTAAATTGTGAAAGGCAAGGGTAAATATTAAATAAACCTCAGGAAGTCAACGCATTTTCTTATTTCTAGTCGAAAAGAATAACTCTAAACTGAAATTATTTATTAAATTAGATTTTCGATTCCGTTTAAAGAACAAAGTAATATGCTTATTCCTCTGAGACCACATGGTAGATGAATGTAGAAGATATAAAGGGATTGGCTATCCACCCTCAACCTCGTCCAACAGATAGCTTTATGACAGTGCCACGTGTCAGGTGACTCACAAAGGAAAATTCAGAGAAGCGTGTGAAGTGAATACAGGAGTTGGACCAGGCCGCCTATTATCATCAATGATATTCCTAATTGTCATTCACTGGATTATGCGTCAGACTGTGCGAGGGGACAGGAATACTTTGGAATAACCGACAAGAAGACTCTAGAAGATTTGGACTTCGCGGACGGTTTACATCTAATGTCACATAACCTCAAAGACAGGCAAAAACCCTAAAGTTGTCAGAAGAGGCTGGCAGCAAAGACAGAGATTCAAGTGAATACAGAGAAGGCTGATTTGATGAAGACACTCAATGACCAACAGCAAGCACCAATCACTGTCAACGGGAGAAATTTAAAAGAGGTTACTTCCTTTACTTATGTAGGCAGAAATGTTCCAACTATAGGCACACATCACTGATAAGTATGTCAAAAACAGGTTAGGAAATGCAAGATATACCTTCCTTACTCTGAAATTAGTTTTGAAAACTGCACTAAGAACAAAATTCAGATTTTCAACACCGATGTTAAGCTGGTCAGCTCTTCTATGTGGGTCAGCAACTTGCACTGTACGTCACGAAAAGAATTTACCAACAGCTGCCTTCGCTACTCCATAGTGAACATCTTATATCTGGCAGGATAGAATTAGCAAGAAGAAATTCTAGGAACCAAGCAACCAAGAACCTGTTGCTCGACAAATATTCCGAAGAAGTCGGAGATGGATTGGGAACACCCTGAAGAGATCTCATCGGATATCATCGTGCACCAAACCATCACTCTAGTGAAACCCGAATTGGGAAACATGGAATATGGAGTCCAAGGATGACATGGAGGAGATCTTGTGAAGGGGAGATGGCAGCTTGCAGTCAATAGCTGAGTCAACTAAAGAGGGCTGCAGAGAACAGAGTGAAGTAGAGATATTCTGTTGAGGCCATATGTTCCACTAGGAACGCAAGGGAAGAATAATAGTCACCTTTGACCATAGGTGTTTGCACTTTGTCTCTCACATTAACTGGTATAATATAAGTAGTATTAAAGTTGAACTTAGAATGCTAGGCAAGGAGAGGAAGTCATTCGATGTGGTTGTGAAGCTAAATCAATTGAAATAGATATGACACATGTTACGCATGTCCAGTCATCGCCTTCCTCATTGAGCAATATTAACTGACATAGGGTCAGGTTGGAAAAGAGTTAGAGGTGTTCAATTCAAAATCTAGAATCAGTTCAGGAAGCCTGTGATTGTTGGTTTGAACCAGCTATGTAGGGAGGTATAGATTGCATGGCTGGATTGTGTCTTCAAGACGCTAAGAACGAAGTGCTTTAGACTGTTCGTGATCTATCTCAAAATCGTTCTCAGTAGCACATATGCACACACTCTTTGTAATCTCCCAGACTCATCAGTTCCTCATGAATCTTCACATGGCTGGCTGGATTCAACATAGAACTTGGCACCGAAGTGCAGCAGTTCGAGCTGCCACGTTCCAAATAGCACACAAAGGTAGACGGGAAAAGGAGAGAAGAGAATCAATAGAATTTAGATAAGTATAAGAGTGAAACAGAATGAGTAATGGTAGAAAGGAATATGAAGGTTAAAGAGACTGAATACATCTGCGTAAGCCATTGACAACGATTTTGAGCCATGTCACCTATTGTCTCCAGCCATTGATTCTTAGAGTCCCGAGGGCGGGTCCCAACCCGGAAGTCTGCATCTCCCTACCTGACTCAGTTTAACTGTCAAGGATTTCATGGATTGATGCCATGTTTTTGTTTGGCCACCACTTACTCTTTTCCAACCTGCACTTATATCAGCTAGTAATGCCCGTCGGGGGGAGGCGATGGTTAGGCATGCGCAGCACGTGACCTAGCCATCTCAATCTATGTAACTTTATAGCCTCGTTGATTGATCTTCCCTCTTTGCTCAACACTCTACGCCTAACGTCAACATTACTTACCTTATTATACCACCTATCGTGAGAAAGAGATCGTAGACATCTATGATCAAAAACAGTCAACCTTTTCATGTCTTCAACTCGTATTGGCCATGTTTCAGAGCCATAGAGAAGGACGGAGCGAACTGCTGAGCAGTACACACGTCCCTTGGTTGATAGCCGGATGTCACGCCTACGCCAGAGACGGTGTAAGTTGGCGAAGGCAGCTCGAGCTTTTTAGATCCGTGCTGAGATTTCGTCACCAATCAGTCCGTTGGTGCTTATACAACTTCCCAAATAGGTGATGTGGTCAACATGTTCTATCACTTCTATCATGAATCTTCACATACTTATTCTTCCTCCAGTACATATCTGTTCATTATAAATCCAGTGAGTTTTTTCTGTAATTTTTTGTGGTATAAGGGATGTAGCAAATTGAACTGTTGCACTTTTGATCTGAGCTCTTTGTTGAAACTCAGTTAGTCATGAGAAAGGAACCTATACACAAGATGTTATCCACTCCCTCTTTCAACAGCTGACGGAATTAACCTCAAAGTTAAGAGAGTATTTGTTTTTGTTTTTCCATAGGACTTCAAACTTTTCGAATTAAAGTAGGCATGCTACTGTTGTTCACCTTTAGGGTTGGGGTTAGTAAGCCTAACAACGCCCAATCCTCCGTCTTTTTCAGGTTAACTATTGGCTAGCTATATGATTTCAAGCAGGAAAAAATTATTCTCAAGATTAAGGTATATACCTTGATATATATATGTGTGTCGGTGGCACAGCGACAGAATGTTCGCCAACCACGCACGTGGTCCGGGGTTCGATCCCCGGTCACCGACGCACTCTTTTACCTCGCTAAGCCAGAGATAAGTCTGGTAAAGAGGGAGGGTTGGGCATGAGTCTAGCAACCCCATCCCGTAGAAATAAACACCACTGCTACCGAAACTTCAGTGCTCTAGATTTGTTCCGCTGGGAACGTGAAGGAAAAAAATTTTTTTAAATAATATATATACAACACTTGATATAACACAACTTTTCCTTCTCTCTGTTTTATCTTCCAGTATAAACCATCTTTACCAAGATTTTCCACTGATTCTGACAGTATGAGTAGACCAGGCACTGAATCATCAATTATTTATCGAGACAATTAATTAATTAATTAATTGACTAACAATCAGGAGAATCCGTCGACAACAGAAAGATTCCTTCTGCAATCTTTACTAATATATATATATATATAAGTTACATCCATTTTACACATTATTCAACACACTATTTTTCAAAAAAACAATATTTTGTTCCCTGTTTGTTTGTTTTTTTAAAAATGTTTTACAAAAGAAAATAATGCAAGTGTGTCTGTAAGCCTACTTCCCCTTTCCTGCGTCCCTTCTCCTCCTCTTCCCCCTGCCTACATCAATTCTTCCGAGTATATATACATACATATATATACACGTGAATAATAGTTCCGTGAATGAAACCAAACTATCCTATACCTCGGTCTTCGATATTTACCTCAAGACAAATAAAGGAACTATAGAAATTATCTCAGGTAACCAAGCAATTAATTAATTAATTAACTGACTAACTAACTAACTAACTAACAATAATTCATTTACTTATCTATTTGTTTATTATAATTAATTATTGGTATATATACATATATATATATGCATGCTTGCGGCTAACTTAGACATGTTACATACAATGCACAAATTAATACTGTTAATAAAGTAAAAATAAAAGTTGTTTTACACCTTTTCTTTAAAAAAAAATCAGATTTCATAAAATTAACAATAATTATTTCCAAGCTTGATCTGATTTCGGAAAGACTACTGAGTAGTTTGCGCACTCATGCAACCCCCCCCCCCCCGCCGTGCTAGGACTCGAACCCACGACCTTCAGGTAATGAGATAAGCCAGACCAGCTATTCAGCCATGTAAACGGAATCCGACAGCCAATACATGATATATGCAGACCAACTACTAATCAATCTTATCGGAGAGAAATTCTCTTCACAGTCAACTTCTGGTGAATTCTGTTGGTTACGACGTTTCAGTAGAACTTCAGGCAGTTTCATCCTGTGGTTGTCAGTCGTTAATGAGCATCAGAACAATTTTCAAGAGTTAGTTTGTAGAGATTTAAATTGTTTCATGTTTGATCAAGGGTTGATATCAGTCAGAAGACCACGGAAAAAAATCCAGGGAGTACCGGACAGTTGTTTCTTTACCAATACTCACCCACAACCTCATCAGGAGTCCAGTCAGAGTCTGTCTGTTTTCGACATAGAACTTTGCACATATGTGCGGCAGTTAAAGTCGCCACACTCCCTCCTTGTAGCACACAAAGCAAGAGAAGAAAGTAAGAGAAATGCATATTAGAGACAGTAAACAGAGGTGTGAGACAAAGGAATAGTAATAACGAAGAACAAAACAGTTTCATTAGAAGTCATAAGTCAAAAGGAGTGGATGCATCTGCGCGAACCATTGAGAACGATTTTGAGCCATGTCACAAATTGTTTCCAACCATTGGTTTTTACCATCCCGAGGACCCCGACCAGGAAGTCTATACCTTCCTACGTGGCTTAGACTAACTGTTGTGGATTTCATTGACTGGTGCCATGTTTTCGTTTGACCGCCGCTAGCTCTTTCCCAGCCTGACCCTATATCAGCTAACATTGCTCGTCGAGGAAGGCGATAACACATGTTCTAACCATCTCAGTCGATGTAATTTCACAGCCTAGTCGACTGATTTCCCCTCCTAACCTAGCACTCGACGCCTAACCTCCAGTCAGAGGAAAGCAACAGCGACCCAAACAAATGATAAACCAAATGAATTTGAACAATCAACGCGTTACTTGGTTACAAAACAATAAGATGGCGATCTCTCAAATGAAATAGAAGTGTCTTGTGGTTTGTCACTGGGGTTCTTAAAGTTATTCCAATCATTGAAATGACTGTATATCACTGTATTTCATGAGCAATATATCACTGGAATACTGTTTTACAAATACTCCCTTAATCGTCTTGTGAAATTAGCATGCATCCCACATAATAGACCAACAAGCTGGGAAAGCTCAGTAGTAACGTCTCTGACTTTAGCACCGAGTGACCCGGACTCGTAGTCGAGAAGAGAAGTGACCAGAGTTCAAATTGCAGAAGGCACATGAGATCCTTCAAGATTGCAGATACGCCTTACTGACAAGTGTCAACAAGCACGAAACCTAGGTCCAGGGCTTCCTGTCGATTGTCTCCAGTCATCTAAAAATGATTTAGTGTTGTGAGTATTTCTGAACGGCCATTCAAGGCGATTTGGTTCGTCGTTCACTTGAGGCACTATAGTCATGACAGTGATGGAACCCAGAAACTATCTTACTGTGAACTTCTTTTCACACTGAAGAGGCTTTCAAGAGTCTGCCGGTAGGGATTTGTCTTAAGTTTGATTGCCAATTGATATCAGTTAGAGAACCACTGCGAAAACTAGCAGTGAGTACTGGACAGCTGTTTCATCATAGTTTTGGCCTCATCGGCAGTACGCATCCACCTGGAGGTTCGAACTCAGGACCTTCCGGTTACAAGGCGAGCTCGCAGACTATTCAGCCACTGAGACCCAACCCAATGGCCCATGAATTCTAACTTCTACCAGTTTGGGATTTTAGCGTGACCACCAGCCATTGTCATTGGCGACTGTCTCTTTGTTTAAAGAAAACAAAATGTTCATGTAACATATTTTCCCATTAAACTTTGCATTTGAAAAAAATACTTTTGGGATATTTATTTAGACTGCGTTACAGTTTGTGAAAGTTTGTAGCCGTAAAATGTTGCTTGGTCTGCGCACATCTAAGCTTTATGATGGATTAAAATAGGCAGTTAGTCGAGACGTTAAATATAATGAATTGCATTCTCATGATTTCATGTTAATAATATGTGGCTCATTTCACTAGACTGGACTGGACATTTTATTATCTTGACCCGTGTTCCACTGGTGACTAAATCAAACTTCGTTATGATGACTGAAGATTAACATGATGTTATTTTGGATAATAGCGACTAGCATTGGAGTCCAGAGTTAGTATTTCGTCCCATTCGGGACTCGTCAGTTGTATAAAGCAGCATTCCCAATGAGTGGTGAGACTCGAACCCTGCACCCATCATCTCAAGCGCCGAAACATTATACACTGGAAAGGAAAATCAGCCTACACAATAATAGCTGATACTTCTGGCACAACAACTATCATGGATAACGATTCGTAGTTTGGAACGATGGGTGCAGGGTTCGAGTCTCAGTGGAAAAACCATCACTCGATGGGGCATCCAGATGACGAGTCCTAAATAGGACGAAATTCTCATTTTCGACTCTACTGCTTATCACCGTCAACTAAAACAACAGAATAAAACTGGACTGAATACACTGTTGTGATGACCAAAAGTAGTCTTCTACAAATTTAGTGTTGAAAATACTGCCTAGTCAATTATATAAGCAAAAAAACAATAAGCAACTCGGTGAGGCGATAGTTAATACTGAAACGAGACAAATCGATCAAATGTCAACATTAATACTCAAACAAGCGATAAAGTAATACACTTAGAGTTATGATTATTTGGTTACAGGATTTCATCATGAGCTGACATTGGTTAGAGAACCATTTGGGAAACCAGCAGGGAGTACTGGACAGCTGTTTCGTTAGCCTAGTTTGGGACTCTTCATCAGTACGCAGTCACCACCAGGGTTCGAACCCAGGACCTTCTAGTCACAAGGCGAGCTCGTAGGCCATTTCTCCTTTCATTTTACACTCAGTACTTACGGATTTTCTTTTGAACAAAATCTCTACGATGAATAAGAAATAAGCTTCATCCATAACTGATACCCTTATAGCGTATTAAAAGTAACTGTTAATGCACAACAAACAAACCTCTCCCAAGTATTTTAAACGAAGAGACAGACAGAGATCAATACCAATTAAAATACGTTCCTTCCTGCTTGTGGTGGACTGGGTCATACGATAGACAGTAAGGAGTGGGAAGACAGGCATACGGCAAACCGAAGAAAAGATCTTACGAGATCTGGATTTCGTAGATGCCTCCTGTTTAACAAACTCGAAGGTATACAGCAGAAAAAAGACAAGCTGACGGAAGAAGCGGCAAAGACAGGACTTCAAGTGAACATAGACAACACAGATGAGATGAGAATATCGAAACAACGGAAATAACAACAACAAACACCAACCACCATCAATAGGAGAAACCTAAAGGGAATCACTCCTTTCACTCACCTCGCCAGCATCGATCCAACTATAAGCGGTACATATGCGAATGTCGAAGCCAGATAAGCATCCATTACTCTAAAATTAGCCCAAAGTATAAGACCACATCCGGATTTTTAACGGTGATTTCAAGCCAACTATTTTATACGATTCATAGACTTGATGCGGCACGAAAAGTATTTCAAACAGGCTACTGACGACCTTCATGAACAGCTGACTTCACCTACTAGACAATAAAGATCAGAGAGCCCATCAGAAGTGATAAGCAACAAGCAACTCTGGCAACTAACCAATCAAGGACCTATTGCCCAACGAACACTTAGAAGGAAATGGAGATAAATCCAGATCCTTGAGTGAAACGTGTAGAGGCGGATGAACAAACTGGCCACCCAAAAACTCATATGAAGAGAAAATAAATCCATGTAGGCAGCTGTGCAGTCACTTTCAAGTAACTGCAGAGAACTGAGTCAAATGAAGGTGTACCACTGAAGTTCCATGTCCTGTGTGAAATGCAAAGAATGACTAATAGTAGCAGTAGTAATAATAATAGTAATAATCAACTTTATTCGGCAGTTAAGCTAACAGCAACTGTAAGTCAATGGTGTCTCAATGACATTACCATTTAAATGAGCGGGGAGGGGGAGGGGCGGGGCGGGGAACTTCTCACTTAATTTATATAAAGGCAAACAGTCTATCCTGTTACAAGACTGAATATAATAAATAAATAAATAAAGATTAATCATTATTTCCTCTTTAAAATATACAACAGATTATGTAATTCTTTTATTACTGGTGCACAAGTAGGAGATGATAATGTAATTAGAAAAAGAGAGAAAATAATAATAATAAGAGATTGCGAATTACTGAAATGTCTTTACTTTAGAAGAAAAATGATATGAGTGAATATTAATGAAAATTTTCTTTGTTTTTCGAATGCACATGCTTGTGATGCTCTCGAAACGAGAAAATAAAAAAAGAATGAAGACCAAAGAATCGTTTAGCATTGCGAGCATCAAATTTTAAAATACATGAGGTTTGAGAACAACAACAACAACAAAGATGAAATAACAAAGATGATATCGAAATGACGAAACAAGAGGATTATGGAAAAATATAATTTCCTTTCACAAAAATGATTATTTTTGAAGCGTTCTCTTCTCTCTGAATTGTGTTCTAGGGGAAGTGAATAAAATGTACTGGCGTATTCTATCTGAGAAGTGATAGCAATGACAATAATAATCTGACTAAAAATGTTTAATATTCAGGTTATGGGCGTGAAATATTCAGAAGCGAAAAGTTGCCAGTAGTAGTGTTATTTAATCTTCTGAAGTTGACTGTTTTCCTCTTTGTCTTCATTATGTTGAGAAGCGTTGGCGCTCTGAAATACGAATTTTTTTAAAGAAAACAATTGTAAATTTCATCTTACAATGTGACAGACAATGTTGCTTTATTCACTATTATGTGTCAGACTGTTATCATGCCCATGGGTT